ATTTATCACAACTAACCTCGAGGCAATTTTAAACAAATTGCACTTTACTTGAAAGTTACTTTAAGTTAATGAAATGATTTGACAATTAGTGTCTCTTCTTCTAGTTTTAAAAATTGTGCATGCATCTTGGCTATTAGGCAAAAAAATGCACCCAAAGTGGCTGGGCAACCGTTCAAATGACTCAATTGGTCACCAAACCCTGACAACTTGAACTTGAATTCGTTTAGGGATCTAGGGAATGAGCATTAGATTTCCGACATTGTACCATTATACCTAAGGAGAAAAGGCTTTATCCGAGAAGGAAAACATCGCACAATCCAAACTAAAGATCAATTTTTTTCCTAACTACCTTTATGCCATGACGTTAACTCTAATGGCTGTATCATATCTATCCAACACCCCCCCCCCTCCCACCCTCCAGCTAGGATATTTTACTGCTCTAGCGAAAGTAATCTCCTAAATGAATAATTATCAAAAGACGTCCAACACACACGGAGCAATATCTAATGAAAGTGCATAAAGATCTGTAAGAATACGAAGGAAGTCAAGGTGACTCGTGCTTACTTATGTATGTATTTGCTTGAACCAAATGGTGAAAATGCGTGAAGTCTTCATTATTGGCACGCTGGCAGCAAAATGTTAATATGGCTCTCCTAAATCTAATAAACAGTAGTAAAGTTTGTTAGATGCTTGAATTAACAACATAAATAGGGCGTATTTATATTTACTGTAACTCCAAATATCGAAAATTGATCCACCACCCAATATTAAATCCCACATTGAAAGTGTGCTTACCTCTGAGAGGAATAAAATACGACTGAATGAAATTCTTGTAACTTTGTAAAATACCCGATTTAATTTTCCCAAAATCGCCTTTACGTTTTTTTCTACCCAAGCATTAACCATATCTTGAACTCTATCAAATTACCCTGGCTAATAGGTCAAATAAATCTATATCACCTCTTCTTTCAAACAAAAATGACATGTGTTTCTGATTTTTGTTTGAAAAAATTGATTGAGAAGTAATGATGTATTTGAAGTAGAAGTAAGTGAAAATAGTTGACCTCCATCAACACTCGACTGCCCTATTAGAAGGGAACACCTCATTATTATGTTACCAACAAACGACTTGAAATGACTTCAATAGGCAAAACTTAGTGAATTTTCTGTTCTGTGATGGAAAATACGAAAAGTGCGAAGAAATGCAATCTTTCGCTCTTAAAAATCAGAGTCTTAAATTATTTCCACGTAAATGCACTGAAAGGCAAGCTCAGATGAATGTTCCCAACTCAAGAGATTAATTTCCCAAGGAAATCGAGTCTTAGAAGTATTGGTTTAAAGTCACATTCTTTCAGCACCCAGAGCATTAAATCTTTTTCAATTATACCCGAATCGTATCATATATATATGGTATTTTGTTTAAATTTATTAAATTAAAAGTAACTACCCATCGTTTGCAAATCTCTCTTTAATTTTATTATTTCATAGAAAATAAGCAATGACAACTAATATGCCTTTAGCAACCCCAATTAAGATGTATATAGCGATAAACTAATTAGGCTAGTTGGTTAATTTCCTTGCAGCAATAAACTTTACAGACCAACACGAAAAATGAGTTTTAGACTCCGATGGTAATAGTGACGATGGCAGATGTTGCAAAAGGTTCAAATTATTAATTTAATTTTATTGTAATTTACTTGAAGGATAGATAGTTTTCTCAATACAATATTTTACAGCTAACCACAGAGAAACTCGTAAACGTCACCTCTCGTTCACTTAATTATCGATTATTGGTTATCGATTTCTTCATAGGCTTTATCAGGCTACCACTGAAACAATTATCTTTGCAATTGTGGAGCTAATAAGGCAGACAATTGATTAATGTGTATCCAGTGGCATGCAGAGAAATATGTTTTCCTTCATCAAAGACCTTATTTAAGTTTAAAAAATTGTAAATGAAACAAATTAATTCTCGTGATTCGCACGACAATATTATTGGTAATCAAGGGGTGTGCAATAGACTTACCTCCACGTGGTGCTCCCTGAGCAATGTATACACATACGGCAAAAAGTCTATTAACTGGCAGTCGGCTACTCACTTCAAACTACCATCACCCCACTCTATGTCATATTCCACAACCTTCACAGTACTCATCTCACCTTTTTCTACCTTTGTGTCTGTCTCCTTTACATCTTTGAAGCACTTTTCTATCCCTCCCCTCTCGACTTTTTTCACTTTTATGTTCCTTCCCTTCAGGAAAGCCAGAGGTCAATTAAAGAGCTAATAATAACTATCAAGATGCCTGCCATTTGGTATAAATAAATAAATTATTGGTAATCAATGTATTATTTTTTTGGTTGCTTAATCGATTCTTTGGCTTGGTTGCAGCATTCAGTCAAATATAACGTTGAAATATATTATTAGTGTGCAGTCCTTTGATCAATACTAGTTCAATGGGTTCAATTGGAGTTGAAACTAACTACCAATTACCATATGGTTTGCGTGTATGCAAAACGATATCGGAATTCACAATCCAAAACCGTAATTCTTAATATGCCCAGCCAAAAGTGACGAAAATGCGTTGCAAATACTTGGCAAGAGCGAATTCACAAAGAAATCGGCCCCTCACATAATTGTAAATCAGTCGTGTCTAAACTGCGGGCGCTAAAGAAGAAATGACTTTAGTCGACTCCACCACGTTAAGTCACGCAGAGTGCTCTAAAATTTCGAAGATACCTATCAGTAAAAAGTAATAAATTGAAATTTGGGCAAACTTACTGTCTGGTTATTTCCATGATTCTCATATTCTTGCCGCAATAGAGAGTTCTCGAAAAATGTGGAATACCTGGATTGTGAACGTCCATTTTGCTATTTTTATTTATTAGCACTAGACTTCTTTTACAGGAGCTCTATATTAAAATAGTCCAATCTTGAAGTGAATCTCCCCAATATACTTTTCTCTAAAATGATATCAATAAATGCATATCTTTCCAACAAGATATTTACACCCTTAAGATTTATTACCCAGAGATCATTAAATGAATATGAAAATCAGATTTGCCTAAAATTAACGAATACATTTAGACAATAATGCTTCTGGTTTCAGCCAAAGTTAGTCAGATATTGTAATTGGGAAGGTAAGATAGTGAGATTCTGTTTGTAAGGACAGCGACCTTTAAAAAATAATTAAATTTCTTTTCTTCCTAACTGATGTATTGCGAAAGCATAGACAATACCTATAACAGTAGAGCACACCAAGTTGGACTCCAAGCGAACAAAGGGAGTTCAAGGATATAGAACAATGAAAATGGCGAGGAAATTATACCGCATTCACTACTTTTTTGGTAAAAGATGTAAATTTTTGGAGTAAGTGGAGATTTAGGTTCAAAAGTTTGTATTCGATTGTACTAAAACATACCAAGAATCCTATTGGTTGGAGGGCTGCATAATTTTCAAAGTGTAGAGAGTACACTTCATGATTGCTGTCTGAAGCTAAGAGTATCTAAAAAGCAATTATATTTGATATTCTTGGAATCCGTGCGTCAGGCTAGAAAGTAACTTACAATTTGATTATGTGTAAATTGGGCCATATAACGGTTTTAAAAAGAAAACCATATATTCATTATTCACTTTCCTAGTTGTACTACTGTTAACTTCGAATAATTGAATGTCTACATTACCGAATTCAGTGCCCTTTAACTTATCTCTTAAACCATTTACGACACCATTTCAAGCGTTTTTTGTGATTTCCCTTATGGAATTAACAACACAGCTTGTGGTCCAGTTGATAATGCAATTAATAATGTCGTGAACCGTGCGCCGGTGGTTCAGTGGTAGAATGCTCGCCTGCCACGCGGGCGGCCCGGGTTCGATTCCTGGCCGGCGCATTTGTTGGAATGCGCGGTAGACTTGCTTCCATGTGGTGTACTCATGCGGCGCGAGAAACATACGAATCAGTGGTTTACTTCAAGCTGCCATCGCCCGACTCCATATCATACGGTACTCACCTTGCACTTTCCACCGTTGTGTCTGTTGCCTCTGTCAACCCCCCCCCCCCTCCACCTTTCTCATCTGTTTAAGACTTTGTTGCTTCCTAAGTGAATCCCGAAGGCAGCTAAAGAGCTAATGATAACTATCATGAGACCTGCCATTTGATATAAATAAATAAATATTTTGAGTTAAATATCTCTCGCTAAACACTTTGACAGTAACTAATTTACTGTTACTTCTACAAAATATTTATTTGCTAAGGCAATAAGGTAAACTCAAAATTTAAATGCTCTCTTTTGAATAAAATGGGTGCAAAAAAGATTTGGCCTTTTATCAGATAATGAATTACCGCGTCATCCACAAAAGAGGAACACACAAAAAATGTAAGTAATATGAACCGTCGTTTGTTATTCAAATTTCCCCTCCTCATTAGCTAAATTGAAATATTTTTCACTGAAAACGAATTACTTTTACTGAATTCTAGAAACTCAGCAATAGTAATGCCACTATCGTTATCAACTACCTAATTTTGACATATTTGGGGAAAAATATCGTGATCGTATGACTAACTACTTAATTTAACAAACCCATCAAAAGGCTTTGAACATCGCGGGAAGGACAAGCTCAGGAAATTTATCAGATTTCCAAACTTTTAAAAGTGTCAATCAGGTTAAAAGCCCAACAATATGATTAATGTTGAAATGAATTGAACTAGCTTTTTTACTATTATTAAGCAATTTTATACGACTATCCTAAGTGATATTCCATGTTACCAGTGAAGTCTGGAAACATTTCCTCGGGATAAAGTGGTTCAAAATATCTTTAAGCCCATTTAAGCCTACTTTTTAAATCGGAAACTAAATTTTACTTGAGGTGAATTAGTAAATACCTGATAACTCTGTTCAAACTCACATACGTCATTCTGATTGGTAAATCTCACGTCAACCAATGATTTTGCTCAGAGTGATCCGAATGTTCACTGCACGGTGAGTAGAATGGCAAATGACAAATGGCTCTTTTAAAGAACTCACCAGGAATCTTACCAGAAGATCCCAATTGGGCTTACCTCGATTCCCCATGGGATCTCTTACGTGATTGTCAATACTTAAACTCAGGTGCGGCAAATGCCTCCATTTATCGTGGAGCTTGTATTCTTTCCCACATGCTTGGTTTTGTTTCTGCTTTCATCTTCCCTTTTGTCGGAGTTTTTGGTGTTATTTCTAACATCTTCGTCACCTACGTCTTTCTTTTCGTCTTTCGAAAACCCTCCCGCCAGATGATTTACCTCGCCTGTGTTGCAGCCGCCGATGTAGCCACTATTATTCTTTTTGGCTGGATATGGATGTTCCCATCAAAGGGACTTCCCTATGCTACTGGAGCACATGTCTACTTCTTTATTTTCAACGTAAGTAATTACAGCTGTAAGATTTTTCGCTACTTCTATTCCTTCACCTCCTGTGTTAGTTCATCAATTTTCCTCTTAACTGCCTTTGATCGTTGCCTTTGTATCTACTTTCCTCTCCAATTTGCTCGAATTTCGAGGAAAAGGGCATGGGAGGCTGTCGGCGTTACTACCCTACTTTCCGCACTATTAATGCTACCATTTGGTATTATGGTTGAGCATGGACCTTCTAATGGGAAAATCATTTGTTGGGTTCAGGTTGAGGCAAATACACTACAAATTTATCATGTTCTTCTTGCCAATTCTAGTCTAATTCAAACCATTATTGTTATTATTATAAATATTGCACTCCTATTTCGTTTACGACAAAGTGCTTTACTTCGGGAATCAATGTCTAAATGTACAAGTGCTAATAGGGAGATTGCCGCATCTATGTTGCTAGTTATTCTTTCAACCATTGTTGTCATCAGCGCCTTGCCTCAATCGGTTGCTTACATCCTTTCCACTGTTCTCTCGGGAGTTCTGGAAGGTGAAAAAGGTCGTATGGCTGTACGAATGGCATATAATATATCCGATCTTGGTTGGCAACTGCTATTCTTCCAGCAAGCCACAAGTTGGGTACTCTATATGAAGAGGATGAAAAATTTTAGGCGGGCGACATTTCGTCTTCTCAGGTGTCATTGTCATGGCGGAAATTGGGTGGAAGATGCCTTTGAATCAATTCACTTCCTCTCTTCAAAAGCTCGAAATCTCACCAGTGAAATTCGATTCACTCGAGCCGATCTTTCAAAGGTCACCTGGAATTTGCGATTTCGAAACTCAAACAGAGGATGTCCTAACGGCCTGTGGAAACTGAAGTCTAGTGGAGCTACAAATACTAATACACTTAGAAATTACGAAAACATGTTCAATAACTCGAATGTCTTTCGATATACCTATCGTGGAAGTATGCGACAGACGACGACATTGTCGACTATCTCACCTGGAACTCTCTATGCGGATACCGAGTCGCCCTCAGATCCATCACCCCCAGACGTGGGTCGAATTGCAACTAGATTTTGACTGGGAAGAGTACCTAACTTTGACATCTTTATTTTAACACTTGCAGATCCTATCTTTTTTAAAAATATTTCATGGACTTTTTTTGAATTCAGACCACTTTGAATGAAGTTAATTGTCTTTTACTCTAATTAATTATATACACTATTCAAATTCTTAATTTCTTCAAGCTTCTATTAAAAAAACTATAAATGCCTTCAAATCGTTAAATAATGTCATAAATTATTTGTTTAAAATATCTAGCCCATATTTAATTCGTATTAACTACAGTGCCACGACAACCACAAATTGTAAATTTCAATAAATCTTAAGAAATTTAATAAAATTGAATTCGCGGATTTAATCATGTTCCGTGGTTGGGATGGACTGCTTCTCTTCCGAAACTGTAGATGCTGCTGAGATTTAAGTTATGTTAAGACGCGTCTTTCATATCAAGAAGAAATCTACTAAACTTAATAATTGCTTTCATATTTGTGAGACAAACTTGTTATTTACCAGTTTTGAGTCCTGTCTTAAATAGAAAAAGTCAATCCATATTAAAATACAGCATGAAGATGCTGCAAATGCAATGCAGACAGGTAAGTAAAAAGTAAGTAACATCAAAAGACGAATATAGCAAATTTAATTAAAATTGATAAAGAGAAAATCACATTATACAAGAACTCGATTTAGATATCCTGTATTGTAAAGTACAATAGGTAAAGTACTACACAGGGAGAAAGCAGAAAGTCTTTAATGAAAAGTGATTAAGGTTTATGGGGGGGGAGTGAGATGGGATGGGTTCTTCAATGACTTGAGTAGATGTGTGCCGGGAATGGAACCGACTAGTTAGCCGTTTTAAATGGAATTTGACTTAATACTAGTCTGCCAATGGGACCTGAAAATGGGAGCCCCGGGTGTAAAACCTGACTGTTGTATAGTGTGAGTCGTGTTCAGCAACATGAGCTGAACTAGTAAAGGTTTAAATTGTACATCTGGTGATTGGAGGTGTGCGATAGGCTTACCTCCACGTGGTGACCCACGGCCAACGTATACTCATACGATAAAAATGTCTCAAAACCGGCAGTTGACCTTTGACCTCAAACTACAATGGCTCCACTGTATGCCATGTTCTACCATTTCCACAGTACTCACCTTCTCTGCCATTGTGTCTGTTTGTCTGTCCCTTTTACATCTTTGAATCTCTCTTCTGCTCACCCCCCCCCCCGAATTTTTCTCACTTTGATGTTCCTCCCCTCCATGAAGCCTGAAGTCAGCTAAAGGGCTAGTGATAATTATCAAAACGCCTGCCATTTGATATAAATAAACATCTGGTGATTATGTAGACGAACTTGCAAACTCCATAAGGGCGTAAAATATATGCGTTTCATGGCACTAATCCTGGGTCTACTTGCTTCTGCCCCAGTGAACCCGCAGTACTAGCCAAGTTGAGAGTTAAAACTATAATCACCAAAATTCAATGAAAATTAAATTCAAATTAATAAAAATCCCAAAGTTCTTAAGGTTTAAATTCTATAAGAAGTTCAGCACGTATTTCCATTGTGCTGTATCCCACCACATTCGATTCGAGAAAGAGGAAAATCAATATTTTCACACAGTTTCATAACTCAGCTTATGACACGTCTATAGAATTATTAAAAGAGCATTTGCATTTATCCAGAATTAAAATAGGCAAATAAGATTTGTAGGATTTGTACAATTTATTAACATCAGCGATTATGTCTAGTGGAGTTACCATATGATTAAATAAGAGTTGTGTCGCTTAATGTTTATTTACTTTAGTCTGTCTCGACATGTAAGTGGCGCCTCATACTTCTAACTGGGATGTCCAATCTATTAAGCTGCCGACGGTAAAGAATGGAATATCTAAATTCCCCTCCCCAAACATACTTCATTGCCAGTTCCATTTTACCCAAAATTAGAGGGTGGACGATTAATTGACTGCATCTCCTGGTTTCTATAAAATAATACCAGAGGACCAATGAGCCCGAAAGGTAAGGTAAGGTAACGCATAGAATTATTACTCGAAACCCAAATTTTGAAATGCGATATTGATGGTTAGGCATGAATTTGTCAAACTTATATCAGCCTTGATCCAATTAACGTGTCAAAAAGAATGAAGACCACTCCAATACACAGAGTAGGCCAATGGGGTAGTCGAACACAAATCTCAGTGCAACCATTGGTCGGATTATTTGTCATTTGAGTTCATTTGTCTGGTGCTACCTACCGGACAGTTGTACCCTCCCCTTCTTGGCATTTCCTTTCACCTTCTGCACATCTAAGAGACTTTATGCAACATCATATATATCTTCCTGGTCTCTATGCCATGGCTTCATAAAGACCCAGTCTGACCACGCTACCTACAACACTAATATTTCCTCATTAATTGATCTAATTGAAATTAGCTGAAAATAAAGTATGCTTTAAAATAAGTGTATCACTCTTAATAGTAAGAGCTATGAAGATAATCGCGCTCAAACGAAGTGTTACCACTATTAAAGAAATTATTTGGCAAACTGATATGGTTAAATACGAATGATATAACAAATAAATGAATAGATGTGAGTACTGTAATAGCGGCAGAGAAAGAACGACCACTTTTATTCATTAGCGAATTAATGACATTAGAGTGGGTGCTATTTCCATGTTTGGTGGTTCAGATGAGATGGTGGATTTATTGGATATGCGCTTTGATTTTTCTATGCTATTAATGAATACGGAGCTAAAAATGTCGTAAATTCATTTATTATTGGGGGATTCCGGATTATCTTGTTGGTGGAAGGTAAATCCAGCATCGCCTATGGTATAAGCTATTACTCACTCAAGAGGGTATGCACGAATAAACCCCCCTCCCAGGAATTGAAAGCCCTCGTCTTTTAGAGGGGTATAGAATCTATATAGAGATCTAAAATTAAGTACAGTAAGTAAATAAAGCTTGTTTAATTAAAGAAAAAGCATTCCACATTTTCAAAAACAACTTCTTGAAGCGCCAAAGGGCATAGAGTTAATCTTCTCTCCACTTCTATTCAACTTCCACATCTTTCCACTGCATGTTCGTCTAAAAGGAATAAGCATCAATTTCCCTGTTTAAGAGACATCAATGCAAATAGCACACAGAAAACTTACGTACTTTAAACAGCCTGGTAAATAACAGATCCAAAATGTAGATAAATATAAAATGATTGTCTTGATTTTATAATGATTGGTTATCTAGGTAGACGCAGCGTTTCACTACTTAAATCGCTTCTAATATGCGAATTACCAAATAGACCACGATACGGTCAGGTCTGGAAGTATGTTGAAATAGTTGATAGTGTAGTTGCATGGCAATAGCTCAAGGTGGCATACAAAATTTCCGCTTAAAAACAAACATGAATTTCACTCAATTGCCATCAAATTTGCTGTGACCAAAGAGGCATTGATAGTAGTGGAATAACATTGTGATCATCAAGCATATATCTACGATGAGTTAGAAAATGGGTATTACTTCAATTTATTATAAGGGAGATAGTGGGGGGGGGGGGAGGAATAGAGGGTACTATAAAAGAGTAAGGAAGAGTGAAGCGCAACAGATGGAAGGTGACAGGAGCTGCAGATATAGAAGAGTTGAGCAGAAACCGAAACAATCGTAAACAAGTGACGTAATCTGCTAAAAAGGAGCTACAAATGGATATGAATAGTGCAAAAAATTAAGGTACACGCACTAGGCGACTCATCTACCTCCTTGTGACCGCGTAAATAAGAGGAAAGAAAAAGCATTTTAGCATTTTTAAATAAAGGGGGATGAGAGATACTGCAACTGCAATAATAACGTCATTTTGATGGCATTTTAATTACCTTTCATAATGAAATTCCGAATGACTTTTTCATATGATTTAGCAACCACCCTCATTACACACATGGCCCGTTACCAGCACCCCCTCTGAGGAAATTCGATTAGTTTGTGGAACGTTTTCGTTTCAATAATGATTTATTGTCAATGTCTGGCCCAGGTTCTCCAAAATTCGATGACACCGAGCATTCAAGCACACTATTTTGCTCCTTCTCTCACACTTTATTTGGAGTTGAGGGGCTCGCGATAGACTTTTCCCTATGTGGTTCAACCTAGGCAACTTATATTCACCTTACCTTACCTCTTCCTCTACTTTGCGTCTGTCTGTCTCTTTTATGTCTTCTGCCCCGCCCCCGACTTTCGTGACTTCGGTGTTTTTACCCTCTTTGAAGCCCGAAGTCAACTAAAGGGCTAATTATAACTATCATAAAGCCTGCTATTTGCTATAAATAGATTATTTAATTAAAATTATCTCTAGCAGTTCTTCTTCGAAAACGCCGTTAAGCTTTATTAAATTCATTTTATCCCCTATATACAAAGTTCTCATTATCGCCTTAGTAATAATTTTAGCCGTCATGGAATTCATTTTGAAATGATAGTGAGTGAATAGCTTTGTTATACTAGTTTCGAATTGCCAAATTTTCACTGTGTCATCTCTCCCCCCCCCCCCCCCCCCCCACCTTTATTGATATATAGTTGCCACTTTAAGAGCCTTAGTTACGCCCCTTAGATATTAATCTTTGTAGCGTATCTAAAAGATGCCCCTTACCTACATGTCACAAACTCAGGGCACTAACGCTCCTTTATGCCTAGAGGAGAAATCATGTTAGTTAATAAACAACTTCTTGGAATTCTTATTTATTTGAGCGGAATTTCATAACACAAACCTGCCCAAATCTAACGAGAGAGAAAATTAAGAAACCTTTAGGAGCATCTAATCTAGCATTAATGCATTCTCCTGAAGGAAATTAATAGGGGACCAGTGAAGTCAAGTTTATGTTTCTCCTGCTTGTACATAATAGTCGAAATTTCACTGCCATATCTACTCAAATCAGGGATATGCTATAGGCTTACCTCCACGTGGTGCACCCTGGGCAACGTACACTCATACGGCTACCTCCACGTGGTGCACCCTGGGCAATGTATACTCATACACCTCCACGTGGTG